ATATATATATTTAATCTCTATCTAATTAAAAATATCTGATTTTTGAAAATTAAAACTTGAAATCTGATTTTGGAAAACAGATCTTGAAAAGTAGGGAATTTTGTAATTTGCACTTTTTGAATTTCTGTCACTTTTCGTTAATCATACCACATGAACATTGGTTTAAATGAATATGACTTTTTTTTATGAAAAAGTGACTATACTGTTTAGCAGTGAGATATCCTAACTCCTTAAAAAAGTGACATTATACACTTTGAATTTTATAAAATTGTCGCCTATTTTAACTTAGGAGTAAATATAAGGATACACAAACTATTTTATTGATGAAATTGCATATCAATAACAACAATGACAATTTTAGTTTCGTTTTAACAGTGTTAAACTTGTCTTCCTAAAAAAAGTGACATACGTTTTAACAAACGTTGTTGTATGTGCACTCTATTGGGACAACGATTTCAATCATTTTGTCAATTTTATATTTGTTAGCTTGTTTCCATTTGTCTTCATGACAAATGAAAACGTTAATTTATAACCATATCTATGAAAAGAATACAAAACAAAATAGTGTGAGTTTTTTTTTTTTTTTAAAGTGATAAAGTATGTCATTAAATTTCACCATATTTATTCATATGCAAAAGACAAATAAAGTGTTATATTATCTCATTTTTTTAATAAAGCAATGTTTGAATACATATTCTATTTTTCACAAACACATATGTATGCATTTCTTTAATTGATCAAAAAGAATTCAAATAAGATAGATTGCGACTTAAAAAAAAAAAAGTGACAGAGCATTTTCTCATTCTCATATTTATATTTACATTTTCACAAATATCTTGTATATATCACTTAAAATGACTCAGAAGTTGAATTTTCACATATACTAACTCAATCATATTCATACAAATTAGAATTTTAATATATATTAATTCAAAATCATTATCTAAAGATGAAATTTCGTATGTTCTAAAATAAAAAAATCTCAGCAACATTAAAATTAAGGTGAAAATTGTGTTTATAGTTCCCCCTGATAAGTAAAAACATTAAATTAGCATTTATCATTAAAAATTAGCCTATAATTGCTTTCTTTTTACTGAATAATCACGAAATATATAATTTATCTCTCAATAATCAAACAAAATATGAACTAATTGAATTAAAAGTCAGAAATGTGCAAATATGCAGATTTGAGTTGATTATTTGTAGATTTGAAAAAGAAAACTTAGAATAAAAGGTAATTGAAGCAACAAATGACTTTGCTTGGGCTTGATTTGTATAAGATTTCGTCTTATAATTTCGATTTTGCTTGATTTGGAATGTGCAAAAATTTTATTTCAACCCTTTTTTTCAATGTGCTATTTCCATCATATTTTTTTTTACGGTGATGATGACGTGAAATTGTAATATTTATGTTTTAGCTCACGTTTATAATGATTTTTCAAAAGCATCTCAAGATTAATGATATTTTTTTTAAAGTACCCAATAGAAAAACTATATCAACTCCATTTACAAGTACTTTTTTTTTTTTTTTAATCTTTTAGCGAATAGTGATATTTTGACTGTCAAATTAACTACTCCATTTATTTCATAAAAATAGATTTTTTTATATTTTTACTCAGATTGAGAAAAATTAATTAATATATGCTGAAATTATAAATTTTACTTACATTTTTTCCTATTGTACTCCTACATGTCGATAACAAGATATATTAAACATGAGTAAGCTGGCAAATGACGGATATTGCTGGGCTTGCAACCTCAGTATCGGGAGTTCGAATCGTGGATAGAGTAGTTGAGTGATGTAATACTCAATTGTGGGTAGAGTAGTTTGGTGATGTAATATCCATGGAGGAAGACTCCATTGGGGTTAGGAGTATAAAGGGTGCACGGACCTTGGTCAACTTGGGCATATGCCGCGATTAACTTCCACCCATCGCTGAGGAGCCGGGGATGGGTGGTCCAGGACATAGTCTGGTGTAAGTTGGGATACCTGGGGATCAAACAAATAAAAAAATAAAAAAATAAAATAAAGGCTTGAATCGCGTAACAAAATAGGGAACAGCAAACAAGAGTTGTAATACCCAAATCATGTGGTGGAGCAGCTTGGTGATGTAAAAACCGGTTGTAGGAGGGCTCCCTTGGGGCCAGGAGTATAAAGCTTGCATGGACACTGGCTTGATTGGGCATAACCCGCGATTAACCTCCGCCCAGAGTTGAGGCACCGGTGATGGGGCGGTCTAGGATATAGTCTGGTGTAAGTTGGGATACCTGGGTATAAAAAAAAAAAATGAGTATATTGAAAAATTAAGACATTAATTACACTCTTAAATACTAATTTCAAATCAACAACCCACTCTATGCAAACACGACCATCACAAATAGATCATAAGAGGATACGTCCTCTCCCTTCTCTATAAACTTTTCAACTTATTCGTTCACTGTAAAATTTATCTTAAAAACGACAAAAAATTAATTTAATGACCAATTTATATTAATCGTCTGATCTATTTTTAGACCAAACATACCAACATTTGGCACATATAACTTTCTAAGATCGAACTAAGGGCGTAGGAAGGGGGTGACAGGGCCCTGCCCCAAGGGCCACTTAATTTTTAGTGTAAAAAAAAAGGTTATTTCTTTGGAATTTTTTTTTGCCCCTCCTCGCTTCGCCCCTGAATCGAACACAAATATCAAACTCATATTAAAGAAATTTCAACACCCATCATATTCAATGTAGGCATGTAAACAAACCAAGCCGGCTCACGAGTCAAGACTCGTGGCTCGTGAGCAGCTCGTACAAAAAATGGCTCGACTTTTTTTGGCTTGAGCCGAGTTGAGCTCGGATGACTCGAGCTTTAGGCTCGAACCTTGCCAAGCCAAGCCTGTTCGATTTTTTTTTAAATCCTGAAATTCTAATTTTTTTTCCTTTATAAATTGTGTTGCCTCTTGTGGGTACCTAGCTACACAGCTGCCTGCATGAGCAGCGCTAGCCTGCTTGCGTGCAAGCTGCCTGTGTAATCACAAGCCATTAGCCTGTGTCACGGGCCATTTTTGGCCTGTCACACAAGCCATCCTCGGAGTGGCTCGTCGAGCTACATGGGTCGGTTCAGGCTCAGATTGTTGGTCGAAAATGAGGTTTGGATCCAGCCTTGGCTCGATGGACACGGGTCATGAGCCGAGTCGGCTCGAGCTTCTTCTGGGTCGAGTCGCGGCCCTCTAAGCTGACGAGCCGAATTGTCATCCCCAATTCAATGTCTTCAACAACACATTTACCGACATGCATGTCAATCTCGTTCCACACTTCCTCCAAATTAGGGACCATCTTGAAAATGAAGGAAATTTCAAATCATCCTGTGTGTACAACTAGCACTCATTGGAACCACTCGTTCCACACTTCCTCCAAATTAGGGACCATCTTGAAAATGAAGGAAATTTCAAATCATCCTGTGTGTACAACTAGCACTCATTGGAACCACTGGAGTCTCCATCCTTAAATGTAGTTGTAATATTGGCCTCCTGAAATGGACAAAATATTGAGCCTCCATTGGGAAAGAATTTATAAACGATGAGTAATGGATAATACTTCATTAAAATTTGTAATTATAAACTATAAATGATTTATAAATTTTGCCAAACAAATTATATAAAGAGAGCTGTTATTTTCGTTAACCATTTTTATATGGCTAAATGCATTTTCTCACCACATTTTTTAATAATTAGATTACATTTTAATTGCACTAAAGGTTCATGACCTTTATATATTATTACATTTACGTCTCATTTTTTTTTCTCAAATTAACATAAAATATTCCTGATTATTATTTCTCCCCAAAAATTCCTTCAAAATAGAGTAAAAAGATTCATTTTTCCATTGTACTTTAAATAAACAAAAGAAATAATAATGTGAAAATGTAATTAAATATTTGATCACCATTTTAAAGTAAGTCAACAATATTTTTGAACGAAAATCATGATTTTTTAATTAATGAAATGTTAAAAAGGAGAACGTGAAGAAGAAAAAATGTTGTGATAGTGGATAAAGGTTAAAGACCTTTAATATAATAAAAATGTGATGGAGAAACTCTATTAAGAAAAAAGCTGTGTTAAATATATCTTTTGATAAACACAATCCTATTATCATAGAAGTCTTAGAGGTCTTGTCGGATGCGTTCTGAGAAAATTATAAAAACAGATAAGTCAAACCAGAAAATTGTATAAAATAAAATGCAAGAAACCAAAACATTACTGTCAGCAATTCAATTTCCAATCAAATTTTGCCAAATTGTGGCATATGTGCATGTAAAAAACAATTCAAGTTACGTTAATGCCACGTTTTGTTTAAACTAAACTCTGTTTTGTCAGTTTCAAACTTCCAATGCTTCCATCGATTTACTTGAGTATTTTAACTAATTCCAGCTGGGATTAATCTCTTGTTTGTTTATACTTATAACCCATAAGTGCTCCAATTCTTAGTTCCTCGCGATCTTTTTTTGCTTTGATTTTGACAGTTGTTGATAACCCATGAAACAAGAGTTCATTGTTCGATGATCAAAAACAATGGGATTCGTCGGAAATTTATTGGGAATAATTGGTTTTGGAATCGGAATTCCAATTGGCATTCTTCTGGGATTCTTCATATTCATATACTTTGAGACAAGAGATACTAAGGTAAGACAATTTCTAATTGTAACCAATATTTCTGAATCTCGGGGCACTCGTGTAAGGCTTTGGTTAGTGTTTTTGCGTTGATTGATTGAATCCATTGCTGATGATGTGTAGCTCCCAATTCAATCCTACCTCAATATATGATCCTCCAAGGCCTGAGGGTGGATTGAACCCAATCCCATCCAGCATAGGGGGAAGAGTTCACTCGTCCAGTAGAAGGGGATGATGAAAAATGATGCGTTAGTTGCTTAACTTTGCGCTTATGTGGGTTCGTAAGCATATTGTAGTTTTACAGTTTGTCCTTACTACCCTAATTTAGGGACAGTTCTGCACGAAGTGCACGTAACACGAAGGGCAGAATTATTATTAGATTTTTGGTAACATTGTGGTATGAAATATTGATCAATCTAGAAAGGACTCAAAAAGTTGAATAACCATTTGAAAGCTTTAGGACTATATCAGGACACTTATGTGTCTGGAACATCATTGATTCAGTTGAAGTAATAGCGTTTGGCAAATTTATCGATGCCTCTTTCTCTCCAAATTTCGGGGACCTTTGTATTTTTTATGCCATTTGAAGATATATTGTTTGATTTTTACTAGGCTATTGCAGATTAATTTTTCTCGTAATTTTACATCTGTGTTTGATTCTCAAGTCACACGTTGATAAGTCATGTTCTGTATGAACATTCGCTTACATATGGGCAGATTTTCTGACTTTATCTGGGTTTAAATTGGTAAAAGAAAACGCTGATTGGTAGAATGATGAGCTTATTATAACTTAACTCGCAGGATTTTGACGCTAATAAGTCGCTTGAAGATTATGACTCTAGCACCTTGATTGATCTTCTCCCAAACCTTCCACTATGGGTGATGAATCCAGATTACGAGCGAGTAAGCATTAAATTCACTGTTTAATTATCTTCATTCAACTCAAGTTTTCTTGTCATGCAATGAGGTAATATTATTTGTTGTGAAGGTCGATTGGTTAAACAAGTTTATCCAGGACACATGGCTATACTTTGATAAGGTGACATATATTATCCTTTGTTAACTTAAGCTGTAAATGTAGTCTCTGTTAATTTGCTCTCAATTTCTCTACGTAAATACGTTTTTGATAGGTAGCCTGTGGAATTATTAAAAGCACAGCAGAACCTATTTTTTCTGAGTACATAGGCAAGTTTCAGATAAAATTCATAAATTTCAAGCATCTTACTCTTGGAAATCTTCCTCCCAAAATTCATGGTAAGTAAAGTTTAAATGATATTGCACTCATTTGAAGTCTTCATTCTGCTAGATAACCATCAGACACCAGTGAACGGAACAGAATTTTGTTCTCAGAGAGGCCAAATTTTGTAGCCTAAGAAAATTAAATCGATGCTAGATCTTTATTCTATCGGCGTCTAGCTTTTCTAAGACATACTTTCCAGCCTTTTTTCTGATGACATGAAATTCAAAATTTTCTCATAATTCAAGTAGATATTCAAGTATACTAGTATCGATAATAGAATGGCATATGAAACTTGGAAAAAGAAGGATAAAAAGGGAACAGAATTACATCGAACAAGCAAAACAGAAAATCTTATACAAACAAAACAGTGCACTGTTCAATTCAGAAGACTCCGCAATCTAACCTGTCATTTTCCAGGACTCAAAATTCAAGAGTCTAACGAGAATAAACTGGTTTTTGATCTTGCACTGACATGGGCTGGAAATGCTGTCATTGTTCTGGCAATAAAACTATTATCTCTGGAAGTCACTGTTGAGGTTAGAAGAACCTTTCCAATTCATCGCTTTACAAAATTTTGCTGCTTCATGTTTATTTCATTCTTTCAGATATTTGGACACATATATCAATGTAGAAAAATAGACTTAATTATGTCCATTTTTCTACAGGCCTCAAGGACATGAAATCTTGGATTTCTCAATGGATCATATTTTATATACTGGCCATTCATCTATTAAACATAAAATCATATTTTTATGCATTTAAATGTCGCAGAAATAGAACTGCATCGTAATCCTTTGTCCTCGAGAACGTGAAAATTTTCCTTATTTGTAATTTTTGTTAATCATTTTTGAGATCACACGTTTTTTTCATTGGATGCCAGTTGATAGATATACAAATATCTGCTGCAAGTCGGATAATATTGAGACCTTTTGTGCCAACATTCCCATGTTTTGCAAACATTGCAATATCTTTGATGGAGAAGGTAAGTTGATGATATACTTTAGCCATCTGTAGTTTTCCAATTTCTATCTCGATTGATTGAAAGTTGCTAGTTTCAGTTCAAGTGCCACAGAATTTTCTGTAATTAGAAATATTATTTGAATGATTGCAGCCACAGATAGACTTTGGGCTGAAAGTAATGGGAGGGGATATTATGGCAATCCCAGGGCTATACCAATGTGTTCAGGTGCCGCTCTCTTTCACTCTGTGTGAGAACACTTATCACAGACACTTTCTAGTAAATATAATTATTATCTTTCTATCTACTGAAACATATCTGAATGAAATAGGACAAAATATGTAGTCACCAAATTTTAATTTAATTTTAGGTTCATCTCTCTGTGTTCTTAACTTCTTTAAAAACATATGTATGAATTTGCATTATGAAGATATTAATTACTGAAGAACAACAGATTTTGGGATTTTAGCATAATATTTGGTGTTTGATTGGTGGCAGGAAGTTATACGCAAGCAAGTTGCAGGGCTTTATCTCTGGCCCCATACGTACGAAATACCCATTCTTGACTGTTCAATGTAAGTTTCGAATTCCATGAAAGTTGTTGAACGTGATCTTATTGTTGAACAAATTATGTTCCTTTCTTGGATTTTCATTTTCACCTACCTTCAATTCATACGAATGACGTCCTCGTTAACCATCTATTCCTGTTGAAGTCGAAGCTGACAGAGATCGTAGTACTTCATTCCTCCATTTTCTGAACTGTCTTCGATTGAAACATATTAGGCGTAGACCTAAAAACGCATCCTTTCTTAATAGTAAAGTGATGTTGGTTGAAAAAAGTCGGAAGAGGGAGTGGCATATCCAATCTAACCTGGACTATTGTAGTTGTTAAGGATCTAAAAGATCTCCCATTTGATAGCAATGAACCGAACAAGTGGCTAAAAAGATTCATGTGGCCAACCCAAAATTTATTGGAACAAAGCTAGTTTGTTGATGTTGTTAGGATTGGAGAAATTTATTATTGTTATCAATAACCCTTTACAGTCCTTCAGCCTATTTCTTCTGCATAGTAATTATATGTATTTATAAAGAAAAAAGAACCTAAAGTCCATCCTCCCATTATTTCACAGAGGAGCTGCCAAGAAGCCAGTGGGAATTCTGCATGTAAAGGTCGTGAGAGCAAAAAACCTTTTAAACATGGATGTTCTCTCAACATCTGATCCCTACGTTAAACTCAGCCTTAGCGGGGAAAGGCTTCCGGCTAAGAAGACTTCTGTCAAGATGAATAATTTGAATCCCGAGTGGCTTGAGGACTTCAAGATGACTGTAAAGGACCCCCAGTCTCAAGTCCTCCAAATGCATCTCTATGACTGGGAAAAGGTTCATTGCTCGTAACTTCATAATATCATCATTTCGAGACCTACTTCAGAAGCTATTTTTTTCTTTTTTACATCAATCATTCATTGAAAAAAAAAAAAAAAAAAAAGCAATAGCACTTCACTTAAAATTTCTTAGTGATTACAAAATCCTTCTTCTTACAACTTGTTTCTTCTTCTCTGGCTTGCAGTTTGGAGCACATGATTATTTAGGGATGCAAGTTATTCCTCTGAATATACTCATTCCATACGAGAAGAAAGAGTTTACACTCAATTTGCTAAATAGTATGGACTCCGATGATCCTCATAACAAGCAGCCTCGAGGTCAAATTACAGCGGAGACGACGTTCGTTCCTTTCTTAGAAGACAGTAAAAAATTTTGTGGAACTACAGATCATGAGCAAAATGGAAGTTTTCATGATGCTTCGGAGAAGGTTTCTTTGATAGGGTCAGGTTTACTTTTAGTTACAATCATAGGTGCAAAGGATGTCGAAGGCAAGAACCACAACAACCCTCATGCCATGATCCTCTTTAGAGGAGATAAGAGAAAAACCAAGGTGACTTTCACAAATCCTGCATCAATCAAGTATATCAAGGCTGTATATTTATACCGGTAAAACCCAACATTTACTATGTATTTTGTCCAGACAATCAAGAAAACTCGGAATCCAATTTGGAACGAGGAATTTCAGTTTGTGTTAGAAGAGGCTCCTGTAAAGGACCTAATTCACATTGAAATCATTAGCAAGGGAAGACGCCGCCTTGGTTTTATGTCAAAGGTTATATCTTCATCCTTTATTCTTCACTTTCACTTTCATGTCTTTTCTGAAATACGAATTGATTAATTTGTGTGTATCGTGTAGGAATCTCTGGGGCACGTGGATATAAATCTATTCGATGTAGTGTCCAATGGACATATCAATGAGAAATATTATCTTATCGATTCTAGAGATGGGTTAATACATGTAGACATAAGATGGAAGGTAATCTGATGACCGTTGCATTGTAGATTTACTCGTTTGAGCTTAGGTTCCATCTAAAGGATTTTGTGTTACTTGATTTACAATATGTATCATCACACACAGGAAAATCTAAGAACAAATAAAATATATTACTATTAAAAGTTGTATTACTTTGTAAACATAATGTAAAGTAAGTTCTTGTGACACTCCTTTTGCAAACGGCTCTCTGCGCTGCATTTTGAAGAGATGTGCTTGTGGTGGAGAGGTGGTGTTGAGCCCAAGCCTGATATGGGCTATACTAGCCTCGTCTTTCCTTAGGCGGACAAGCCCACCAAAAAATGTAGGCCATACCAGGCCTTTGGGCAGGACTCATGTCCAGTCGGCCTGCCCATGACTGTTACATTAATTCAGGCTCGGTAACATTACAATGTCTCATCCCTTCTCTACTAGGACTCGAGAGCATCAAAGAAGCCGGAAATGATCATGTTAACAAGCATAAAGAATAATGATTGAATTGATAAAACCTCATTACTGTTTTGAGTGGATAAATACTTATATAACCCTTGTTTGGAGAGGATTAAAATTACATTTTTTAGCAGATTTTGATAAATGTTAATGAAATATGTGGTTGACGAATTTTGGTTCACATAAAATTTGTGGTTAAAATTAAAATTAATTTTAAAATTAATTTAGATTAAAATTCAAATTTGAATTTGTACCAAATAGAGACATGGTAAGTAGTATCAGTATGTTGACAATATTCAAAGCCCTTTCATCTTGGGTCGTGGCTAAGAAAATAAGCTATAGCCCCTGTTTGAGTCATATTAAAATTTAAATTCTCATTCTTCTATTCATTTTCAACTACACATTTTTCAATAAAATAATATTTTACATTACATCAATAACTTTTCCTTCTTTTTCAACACACATTCTCCATCAATCTACTATTCCAAAATACATTCTTCCAAAATAACGTGACTCAAACACACCCATATTTTAGAAAGGGAAATTGACCCCAATCCCCACCTTTCAACTTTGAATAATAATAAAAAAAAAGGTATCAATATTTTTTTATAAAAAATCAGGTATATCCGGCCCACCCCACTAAACAAGAACCTTCATCTCTCAACCAAGACCTAAACCATCACTAGAGTCCCAAGCTGCCATCTTCACTCCACCCCGAACCACCCATAAATCATCGACGGAATCACCTCCCAAACACAACCACCACCTTCGATTAGCTTCACAACACCACGTGGGACCCAAAATCCGCAAGAACCCTATGGAGTCACCACCTCAATCCACCTCGATCCACAACCTAAATCGTTGGACCCATCACCTATTGTTGAAGAAATCTACTATTGCTGCTTTTGGTGTGTTTATGTATATACATTTATACACAATGTACATGTTATTAGTCTCACATTGGTTAGAAAGAAAAACATTTCTCTTAAGTTAAACAATAAATATGATGCCTCTCTTGTAAACAA